AAAAAAAAAAAAGAAGAAGAAGAAGAAGAAGAAGAAGAAAGAAGAAAAAGAGAAAGAGAAAAAGATGGAGTGGAATGCCGAAGCCAAACTGAAGTCGTTGAAATTGGGCTTTGTTGAGCTAAGCTGAGAATGAACAAATTCTAACACTGCGAGAGCTGATGACATATCCAAAACAAGTATCACTCTTGACAAATTATACATACATGTATGGACACAACTAGAAAAAAAAAATGGACAGACATCACATTAATTATGGAAAATTTTATACAAAAATGTGTTCCCATATAAAGGCATATAATGAAGCCAAGGGAAAATTTGCTTTCCCTTATAAGTAAAACCACTTCAGAGAGGGAGCTAGTAACTCGACTAAGATTGAGAGATGGCCAGCTGAAGATACTTGAATGATTTCTGATAGTTTAGAAATCCCATAAACCAGAAATCAAAATTGTCCACTGTAACTATTTCTATGTACTTCTGTGTTGGCCTGTTCACATTTTCACTTTGGTTGGCTCTCTTTATCTTCCTCAGTGGAATCGAGACCTGCAGAGGAGAATTCATTAGGTCAGTGACAGGTGAAGGCTTCCAAGAGAATGTTTTAAATAATTAATTCAGAATTAATGTAACCCACAACAAATATATGACCATCTGATTCTTGTTCACCATCCAAGCTGTGATTTGCAATTCAATGGTTCTGATAGCAGATATTTATTGGCCCAACTATTTTTTGTCTCCAAATTGAGTAATATTTTGTCTACCCTACTTGTGATATTGTCTACAATGAATCAACCAATAGAGTACTTAACAAAATTTGTGTGGGTCTTGTCTGAATTACCTTGTAAGGTGCTCTGACCAATTCTCCAGTTGGAGAAGAGAATGCGAGGGATCTCTCACTGCAGAAGGCAACCATTTCAGTGGAGATAAAGAGGAGACCTGCAATAGGACCAGCTGTTGTTGACAAATAGCACTGTGAGGCTCTCAACAGTTTCTCTCCTTCTCTTACTCTGAAAATCTGTTTGAATACCCTTTCCACCCCACCTCCTTGAAGAATTCTGGCTCCCAAGCTTAACTTCCCTTTCACAGTTTCAGTTACCTTGGACCCCAACCTCACTGTAACACCAACAAAAGAAAATCAATAAAAACATTCAATTTCTTCTCACAAAACTAACATATAACAAAAGAAAAGGTTTAGAAACCAGAATTAGCTTTGGCTACAGATTGTTTCCACCACTACTGAAAATTGGTTTCAAGAGAACTTCTTGACTTGAATTCAGTAAAAAGAATAAGAAAACAAGACAATTTGAACTCCAAAGCTTGGAACTTAAAACATGTTCAGTGAAGACAATTACCATGCTCGCGGACTCCGTGCGCAAAACTGTCGGCTTTCTTGCCGAATTTGTTCATCCATTCGATCAGTGAATCTACTCTTTCTGCAATTCCCAAGTCAAATGATTAGTAAAACTTTCAATAGATTATCTGCATATTTGATATTCGCATGCAGTAGTGGACACAGTAAAGAGATCTGCAGGGAGACCCATTTGAAGAAGAGGAATTACTTTGTTTGGATCTATGAGACCCATCTGAAGGAGAGGAAAGAAGGTAGGGGCTAACTGTTTCAGGTCCAGAACAAAGCTTCTTTGCCTCTGCTGATCCAATAAGCGCATATGTAATCGAGCTGACTGGAATTCCAATGACATGATCAGGAACCGGGTTCTTCATTGTTAGACAAGTAGTATTACAACCTGCTCTCTATCCCAACTCAATCTGACAATCTCCTTCACTCTCTTGGCCTGAGACTAGTGCTCTGAGATGTCTTCCAGTGCAAGAATTGTGGAAGAGGAGTGGCTTTTAATGGTGGAGGAAAGGGTAGAGTTTGTTATTGTATTTAAAGGAATAGACAGAGTTGGAGGTGAATCAGAAAATTCTGATGCAGAGTCATCTATGGCTCATCAAAAGGAATAAAGTCAAAAGACATCAACTCATAAAAGAGGGATACAGATTTCAGTGGGTCTCATGGCTTTTCAAAGAGCTTGGAGGAGGCAATGCAAGGCATCCCTTTTCTGAATTCTTCTCTAAATAAAAGGGGAAAAGTAGATAAGGTTAGTTCATTTCATTCATTGTTACTTTTATAGATTATATCTGTCTATGCTAATAGAAAGAGAATACTTAGGTAGAAAGTCACAACACTGTGATTAGTTAGAATTATTTTTATTAGTTTTGGTGTGGGGAAAGCTTTCAGTAAACTTTGGCAGCTTTGTAACAATATCATATTTGTTTAGAAGATAGTAGAAAGGGAGGGGCTGGCCAATGATAGTATAGGTTAGGTGGTTGGCTCCAATGAAGTGTAGGTTCAAACCCATGGAAAGCTAACTTTCCACGTAGTGTAGGCCAATGGGCCCTCGTGCATCCCTCAATTCATACCCCACATATATTATATTACTTTTTTATACAAAATCCTAAACCACCTATTAATATATACATTAAACCCTAAATCCTTATCTTTATCAAAATCCCCCATTTTAAACCCTAAATCCTAATCATAAACCCTAAAATTAAGCACTTGGTCGGACGCATTTCCTAAACCAGGTAGGAGCCTAAGTTCTTTTTAATACCCCCAATCCATTTGACTACCTAAATTCAAAATTCTGGACGGTCAACAAGGCTCTTCCCAACATGGCACGTTGGTTACGTTGGCATTGCTGAAAGATTTGCTCTTGCAACAGCGCAGGAGAAAAGACTAACATGGGGGTGGAGGGACCTCTCTCATAAATTTCAACAAATAAATTAATAAATTAAATGGCATGTGGAAAGCTTTCCACATTTCCGACTAGTTAAGTTTTGAGGTCAAGGTTTTAAAAACCGACCAGAACCGGAACTGTTTTGGTTACCGATTTTTGGGTTAACGGTTCGATCATTTGATTTGAATGAACGGCCCATTCTAGCTTAAAAAATAAAAAACGGCCAAAATTGTTGAATGGATTGAATGGGCCAACAGTTCGACTGCTCAGGTCATCAGATTACTAACTAAATCAATGGTTTTTGGCCAAAGATCAGATTAAGGGTGAATTAGAACCGATAGCCTAGACGGTTCCCAAACTGAAAGGTCCAATCGTCCGGGTCAACAGTGGTTCAAAAACACTGAAGGGTCCCACCAAACAGAAGTGGGTCATTTTTTAGAGACAGGATCTGCTCCTCACAAATGTGTACCTCACATGCACATCCACCGTGTATTGGGAACATCTCCCATGAATAATAACTAATAAGTACGGGAGATGTTCCCAATGCAAGGTAGGATGTGCGCGTGAGGTGCCAGGTGTGAGGAGCAGATCTGGTCTCCATTTTTTACAAACCCACATAAGATTTGCCAAAATCAGCTAAGTTCTCTCTCACTAATCTGGTCTAGATATCCAGGTCAAGCTCAAATTGTGCTAGGGGTGCTCACAGTTTGATAATCGTGTGGAATTTTTTGGAACCGAACCGGTATTATCGGTTTTTGGAAAACTGGTAACCGGAACTGAACTGAAGCTAGTCGGTTAACCGGTTGACCGGTTCGATTAACCATTGGTTTTTCGGTTTTTTAGTTTTTACAATATATATTATAAATATATATAATAAAAATTATAAATATATATATAATATTATATTTTAAATAATATATAATATATTATAAATAGATATTTATTAATTTATAATATATAAAATATATAATATATAATATACATAAATATATATAAAATATATAGAAATATATGTATAACAGTCAGTTCGATTGATTAACTACCAGCTTTCTATATTGATTAACCGATACCTTCAAGTTCTAAACACACTGAACTGAAACCAAACCGACCGATTCGATTAACCGATTTTTCGATTCGGTTTCCATCGGTTCGATAGGTTGTGCAGCTTCTTACCCAAATCATCATTGCCATCCCTAGAGCTAATCGTAGTAGACTACTGCAGTTCAAAATTCAGACGCTTTTCATTCAAACAAACAAAAATTCTGGTAGCGGTGCTGACCAGTTTATTTGTTAGTGCCGGAGGTCCACCACCGCAGGCAGTTGTTGAAAACCTCAGCAAAAATGGCGAATTGTTTATTTCATATTTCTTTGGTTATTTATAGAATTAAGTTGGTCCAACAGAATCTCAAGGAGAGGCTCTATTTTCTGGTATCTTCTAGACAAGCAGTTGGTGGGTCCAAGTCAACAAATTAATATGTTCAGTTGGGGTCAACAATGCTTACAACCAAAGACTTAAGAAACTTATCTTGATATCGTGGCGCTGAGTCAGCATCTTTCCATCTACACATCAAACTTAATGCTCCTCTCATCCTAGCCATACACTTGGACTGCTGAAATATCTATCATACCCAATATTGGTAGAACTCAAATAAATAGGGTGGGGCACAGAATCTACTTGTGATGGATTACTTGTCTGATCAGAATCTGAGCTTTCAAAAGTAGATGGGCCATAGGGAGCAGCATCCTTCAGTGATCCTTACAAAGCACCATGGTCTTTTTCATGCTGACTGTACCTCTAATGTGCCCTTGTAGCTTTTGTGCTGGCATCTTAGCATCCTAACTTTGTGATATTAGCTTTCATATTTAATATCTAAATCAAATAAAAGAAAGAAAAAGACAGCCACACCACACCAATCTATTAGTTAAATGCCAAGCCTTTATAGTGATGTAGTCATTAGCTTTTATCTTAAGGAATGATAGAAACCATCAGATAAGATTACAGAAATTTATCCATGAATGAAACCCAATAATCAACTATACAACATTTCCCTCAAAAAGCTCTCTCAGTCTCAATAAGGACATAATTAATGATCAGTTCATCATACTCTTTTTTGTTTGTTCTCTAAATCTGGACTGAGTACAAATTTTGGACTTGGGTTTAGTTTTGCATCCATTTGTAGTTATGATTTACAAACAAAATTTATTCTTTGTTTTTTTTGTGCAAATTTTGCATCTCAAAAATAGATTCTCTCCCATATAAAATGAGGATCACAGCACCTAGCTTCCTACCTCAATTCTAAACAAATAACCCTCTTCCTACCTACATTCTCTTGCATATAAAGTAGAGACAACGTCATCTTACTTCATGTTTTACTACCCATGACAAAATCAAATATAACAAAAGATAAACCAAAATATGCAATCAACTTATTTGCACTTCCATGCATTTACACTAAAGCAAATTAACTGCAACTAAACTGGGTCTTATGTTTATATATTCTCTCTTTCTCTCTCTAATCAAGAGGTGGAAGGTAGTAGGCCATACAGCTAAAGTCGCTTCTCTCAGTTTCTCTCTCTCTCTACGTATCCATCTCATATGGGCCCACTTGATAGAGAGATTAAGGCAAGTTGTAGAGTAGTTATACAAGGAAAAGAAGCAATCCACATCAGAGCTGCATCAGCTCCTTCCCTATGTAGACCAAACAAAGATCCCATTCTGTGGGGCTTCAAACTTTGTTTTGTGACTTTGTCGGTGAAGGAATCAAGGTATCCCCTCCAATGAATTAAAAGTATATCCCCAGAGCCAGAGGTGATGAGATTAAGTGGGACCCATGCAGCAGGATTTGGTGACGATAACTAAGCAATGCTCATCTGATATATTTAAAATTTGAGTCCAACCTTCAACCAACTCGACCAAGACTGCTTCCAACTTTCCACCCGGACCCCACAAAGAGAGCAGGAAAAGGATGGGTCCTTGTGCCAATTTGGAGCAGACCGGGATGTGGCCCAAATTAGACAGAACAGGCCATACATGTAATCAAGCAGCCGGTCAGCTGATCTTAATATGTGTCCCATTGTTGTATTCGATATCTGATCGGCTCATTAAGCACCCAATTGGTTACATAGTTCATCAGGGCTGCCAATTATGGATCGGGTTTGGGTTCAAGTAGAACTGTAGCACCAGTCTCGAATTAATTATTAATTGGAACAAAAGTATTGACCCGGAACCATCCCAGTTAATAGTCGGGTCTAGTGGGTTCAGCCCCAATTGACTCAATCATACTGAAAATAATATTTATTTTTTAAATAATAACTTTAAGTTTAAACTTAGACAATATAACCTTAATAAAAATGATAAAAAAATACTAAATTATTTATATGTTAATAAATTAAGCATTTCTAACTAATATTATTGTTCGGGATATGGTTGAGCTGGCTTCGAATGCCATGTGTCCGTCCTACCTCCTCGGCCACGTTAGCCCACGTCATCTCCGCGGCCCTCTCTCATCTGCCCAGCCACGTCGACTCCACGTCACGTGGTTAAGTGCGACTAAGACAGAAAGATAGATGATGACAACTTCGCTAGGATTATGTCTTATCCCGAAGACCTCGGCAATTAACCTTATCCCGACCACCCCGGAAGCCTTATTCGACCATGACACGACTCATTGGCTATAAAAAAATATCTCCCGCTCAAGATAAGGGATTTCAACTCTTAGCACCCATATCGTTACTCTACTCAGACCAACACTGTCCATGAACTGCTCGGCCCAATTCCATTACTTTCTACTAACTTCAGCATGGAGTGTCTACCCGGGGATAACTCCTCAGGCCTCTGATTCCTTTCTTGATCGCAAATCTTGGAGTGCATACCTGTCCTTCTACGTTGGCTCCGCCCAAGTGGCAAGGATTATCTAACTGTGACCTTGATTCCTATACCACCTTGGATCGAACAGCATCAATTATCTTATTTATTATTTATCAAATTTATCATTCCAAGCTTAAAATATGATAAAAATTATAAAAAATTTAAAAATATTGTATATTTAATAAAATAATCCGTTTCGAGTCTAAATTCCAGAGAGATAAGAACCGAAACTGACCCAGTTATTAATTGGGACAAAATTATGAAACTAGAAACATTTTATTCGGTTCAGTCTCATTGGATAAATCCGACCTGTTGACAGCCTTAAGTTTATGTATATATAATAGTAAAAATACCACCAGTCAGATCAAGTAGGGATCTTTCCAACACGATAAACAACCTATTTTGCCACGTGGAAAAATCTTCTAGGCAATTTAGACCATTCATCTGA